AAGAAGTTTTAAATGGGATATAATGAAATGTATCTACTAGATAGTCTAGGGATCAATGTCTCAAGGAGTATAAAATACTTTGTAAAAATGTTAGTTGGGGTTTATAGCTATTTTCCCATTGTCACCATTAACTGGAGAGCGGTAACATGTTTTTTAACATTAAAGTATGATGTCAGCATATGTAGCTATCATTTCCGGTTTTAGATCTTGATCATGTTAACGTCTGCAACTGTCGATGAGCCATTTAACAATGTTGATGTGATTACCAATAAACATTGCCAATGTTTTTTACGAAACTTTTACCAAAATCATATCAGTTAAAAAGGACACCACACTGTCCATTATGCAGTCAGGCTTAAACAACCAGAATCCCTGCTGTCAAAATTTAACAACACCTCAAAGGTGCCAACTCACCCTTATCAAAGTCAACGACCTCGAGAACTAGGAAAACCACAACATCTTAGAACTATTTAACCAATGTCTCCACTTATCAGATGTAACAATGTACACAAGCAAAACACCATACCGTGTCTCATAGCAAAACCATATACAAATACCTCCTGCCTAATTAAAGGACAAATTAACACTGACACACTTATAGAACTTGAAATTGATAATACAACAAATACGCATGTTCATTATAACCAAAATGTCTGCTAGCAATACATTGGCAAATCATAGTATTCGTTATACCCAAAATGCATACCATTACCTCCTCCAATTTTTGCTTTTAGAGTATCTGGTCTATTGAAATGAGCAGCTCAGACTGATCCTGAAACTTTCATATTGGAGTCATTTAATTCAGTATATTTTTTACTGAAATAATTTTCCTTTATCCTTCCCTATTATATACTGCTTCTTTTCTTAATTTCTTATAAAATACTTTTTGCTTTCATATTTTTATTTTCATTAAAATGGCATGTCACTTTTTCCTATCACATTTTTTAGTTTCTTATTTGCATTGATCCCTAAATAGTTAATTGTATCTGTCTTCCAGAAAATGATATTTGCTCACTAATTTATTTATCTCTCTTGTGGTGACAGTCTGGATTAGATGTTGAATTGAAATCAGAAGACCAATTAGTGTTAAAATAATATTGTCAACAAACAAGCGTAGTTTGTAATGTTCTTTTTATTCCCCAGGTCTGCCAATTTCCTTATTATTTCTGCTTTTTAATTGTAAAGGGTTTCGGGGTTAACATGTACAATAGGACACTCTTAACCTCATCCTGTTGGTCAGTTTAATCCAAGCCAACTTCATGCCTGGGTCGCTGACAGTAAACGCAATTCTAAATAAAATCTTGCTTTTTGTGTTTTTTTTCTAAGACTACATTTTTATCACATTGCCTAAACTGATTTACTTATTTAAAAGTAGTCGAGATTGCTTTGTGGATGGTTTGTTCTTTATATGAGCCTTAGATCCCTTTTTAATCCTCACTGGTTTGCTTAATGGAGGGGAGCATGCAGGTATAGTTTGCCTATTGATTAATACTTGCAATATTTTACTATAGTTACAGGCAAAGCCAGTTTCTGGTATCTGTGTAAACCATGATTTAATATGTTTACTAGCACTTAGTACATATTTAGCCAATTTACTTTCCTATAAAAATTTGACAAGATAAATTCTTTACTTTTTATAATTTTTGACCCAATATACACAGATAAATTATAATGTATCATTTAGAATTTGGTGTTTTGTGAAAGGTGATCATGGGCTGAGCCTGTGTATATTTTACAGAATGCCACAAATTGCTTTTACTGCATTCATTCCTTCCTTCAAACAGTCAGCAACTAGTCTTGACTGCTCCATCTCAGTAGGGAGCCTCCTGAACTTTTAAAAGGTGCACATTGTGTTTGGCTAGGATTTCGAAATTACATTCCTTGCCTCTTACCTTACACAAAACCCTGTGATTTGGCAGACACATCAGCTACAAAAAAAAGTGGCGACATTTGGAAAAATAGCCTCTAATAAGTGCTTCATTCTAAAAATAGAATTATTCCACTTAAATTATTTTCTTTCCGAATTGGAAAGCGTTAGGTGGATATTTAAAGAAATATGTTCCTTACGCAAATAGTCTATTTAAAAATTGAATGAATTATTTAATCATTGCATTATCTCTTTATACTACATTTTTACACT